GGCGCGCGCCGCACCCCGCCACCCTCACCACCTCGCTCACCACACCGCTCACCACACCACTCACCACCTCCCTCACCACACCGCTCACCACCCTCGCCGACCCCTACCTAACACAGCACAAGGAGTACGCGCAGCCCCACCACCTCTACTTCTCTGACGTCATCATACAACAACCCGCTGACGGTATGTATTTATTGTTGTATGACAATATTAATGTTAGGGCCTGTCCCACCAAATAGTAAATTGTTTGATAACAATCCAACGCGTAAAATATATGATGGAAATATCGGATTTTGTTACATTATCTGACGTGACGTCATTTTTAAGGTATCAGTCAGTGGTAGGACCGGCCCTTAATATTGTATTTGTGTGCTTTTTGTTATGTCTTATATAATATACATAAATTCAATCATGTACGTCATCAAGGGATCGTCTTTAGGGGGAGCTTACTTATGTCTGATTCATGGAGTTTAAAGATAAAGATTACATATTATTTTTGTTTTCAGGACAAGCACAGACTGTACAGATAACATTGTAAGTATTAATAACATAGCTAATACTTTCTCTGTCTAACACATATATCACCATCTTTGTTTAATTAGCATTAAATAGCGTAATTAGAATATTTTTTAATAATATCTTTGTATTGCAGGCCGGAATTAGTTTTGAAAAAGGACGACGTCAAAATATACGAAACGGAACAGACGATCGCATATTTTTAATTTTTTTTTATTTACAAACCTGTTGCCAGTATTGCCGCTTCACAATGCACATTGTAATCAAAATTATGTTAACTATAGTTTTAACTGTATATAATATATTTGTAGTAAACAATGAATTCTTACTATTTTAAATCGATTTAGGCGCCCACTAAGGGCGCCGGGTATGAAAGGGCGCCATAGGTTTATAAAGAGGCGGCCCGGGCGCCTTTTTTGTACGAGTTTATGTTACAATGAGGGGGCGCTACAGTAATTTCGGGCGCCGGTTACGTTAAAGGCCCTGCAAATAATATACACTGTCATTATTTTGTATTTTATTTTTAGGTAATTATTCCATTCTTAATCAACACAGGAGTATATTGCTATCTCTATTTCTCTCACAGATAATGTGAAGGATGCTGTCATCTACAAAATATAGTGTTTTGTTTTGTGTATTATTACCGCTATATACAAACTTTTTTCTGTAATTATAATGCGACGAAATATGGAGTAAAGCTGTATGTTAGTATAGTCGAATACATTAGGAATGAGAAATTATAACAGATTTTACTTTTAAAAGGTATCATATTCACAGAGTATTTAAAAATAGACATGTGTAAATATTTCTCTTTTTATTAAAATTCGAATATACTTACTGTTAAGCATTTTGTAAGGATAACAAAGTAATATGTTATAAAATCTATAATCGAACGAACATGTAAGTTTATAATAATGATCTGTGTTTATATAACAACCAGAAATTAAAAGGTTTTATAATATTTCGTTTTTTATTGCCCTTTTTACATTTAGACATCCAAGGGGATACATACCTACTTGTGGGCTCTTAGTCACGAATTTCCACAAATACTATATAAAACTATACCAGTAAAGTAGTATATTTTATGGTACAAAATATAGGTGAAATATTAAAAATATTTTGTATAGTAGACATGGCTTGACTATGGTATGCCTTGATTTTCTATTTCAAGTTTAAAGAAGCTTCCAGAAAACTTTCAACTTAGTTCTTTTATCATATTTATTTATTTTCAAATTTTTAGTATAGTATAAAGTACATGTTAATATTTTCACTGTTCTAATAGGTGATTTATTAGTACATTTTGGGGTTTCTCGGTTAGTGATTTACAAAGGAGACGTAAATTGAGTTCAGCCGAAGCGCAAGCCGTTAGCGACGGTGTGCAGTAAATTCAGCGACTTTTAGTGCGGTCATAAACATTATTTTAATGGTTACTGTTCGGATTTTTCCTACAACAGATTTATCAGACTATAGCTTGTTTTATTACAAGTAATAATAATTTAAAGAAACAATTCGCTATAGCAATCTATAACTTCAAATTTCGTCGTGCGTCGTCTGTTTAGTGTAATTATTTAGGTATATTACGCAATTTAATTACTGTGACATTACGAATTGTGGAAGTTGTATAGAGTTAAAAGACATTTTATGATATTAAAATGGGACATACGTATTATCCTATTTTGCTATAGTTTGTTCCAAAAACCATAGGGAATTTTATTTAACTTCTGTGATTTTTATCACGTGATCTAATTCTGTGGACGTGCGTCGGCATCTGGATGACGTGACGGAATTAATAGACTATGTCGGGTTGGGAATACTTGTCGGTGAAATTCCCATAAATATTTATGTATTGTTAAATATTTAGGTTAGGAAAGGGATTTTAATCATATAAAAAATGGGTTACAAAAATGTTTACTATTAGCGGTGCAGTAGTATTAAATCACAATCAATAGCAAATGGATGCAAATACCAGTGTATCCAGCTCAATGAATAACTCGTTCACTAGATAAAGATGCCTTGGATGTCAGACATTCTATGCTCAACGACCTTTAAGAAATATGTACTTTTAATATAAATAATATCTAGTCCCATATTCATGGATCAAATAAAAATTAGGAAACACTTTATCGTAAGACGAATTCCAAAAGAGGAGATTACCTTTTAAGCAAATTGTAAAACCTTTCTCCTATCCTTTAGGTTCTTATGATACTTTATTCATCTTTATTTAAAGCTTCTAAAATCTAAACATCGTTGTACATAATTCAGTCAAAGCAAGTAAAATATAAAACATCTGGAATCGCCCACTCAGGTTGATACAATCAGTCTTCGTTGCTTGTTGAACGTCTACTGGACGTGACATTCCTCGCACGAATTACGAAGCTCCAGATCTATCTTAAAAAGCTATGCTTAAAGCGCACATTTTCTCAACATTTATCAATTTTCAGTAACATTTACCGTAACATATATGTTATGTACTAAATATAAAATCATTTTGCTTTATCTTTACTAAACTATTTATACAAATAAATGCTGATATTGTGTAATTATCAAAGATTTGAAAATGCAACATATTGTAAAGCAGCTGTAGACTACGTAAACAACAATCTCAACTTAAAAATTGACAAAGATGAATTTGGCCGAGTTTATGTTAGATGTATAACAAAAATATAAAATCTTTTATATACTAATCATATAGGTATATTTTACAGTCGTCTTTGGAGCGATTTAGCACGCTGAGCCGAGTCGTTCACATTGATGAATGGACCGTTTTACATGTTGAATGCACGTCATTAAGGCGTCGTGGGCGTGGCAAACGCTACACCTTAATCATCTGCCTTTTTAAGTTCATGATTTTTTTGCTTTTAACACGACAAAACAGTCTGCGAAATGTGATACTATAGATTAAATTTTGCTTTAAAAATATGAAAACATAAAATGCTCCAAAATATTTTAAAAAGGATCTCTAAGCTTTCAATTCTAGTTTTTTTTTCAGGTTTTTGTTATACTAAGTATTTGAAAATGTTATATTCAGTTATAGTTAAAGTATCTTGTTTTGTCTTCGCATTCCGACGCTTCATCCATTGGCAAAGAGCTTTAATCAATACCAATTTATACCAGACAATCTAATTCAATTTATTAGAACAGGGTCGTTGCTAACTAAAGCTACTAAATCAACGATCTCAAGTGAACAGTGAGCAGAACAATTTGAATAAACAAGCAACGGATAAGCCGCACCACAACCACTCTGATTTCAAACTGAAATCCGTCTGGAGAGTTTGCATACATTACTCTAATCCGTAACTACTTTGAAGCCACGTTTCGACTTCTCTGCATTTAATCAATCAGTTACGACTATATAAGTACCTCTACCTTATAGAAAAGCGGAGTAAAATAAAATAGTTTTTCTGTTTCGTAGTAAATTAATACAAAGGATGTCACAATGTTTATGGAGCGTATAAAACGTATACGGCCTAAAAAATGTATGAAGTTGTTTCAAACTGTCGGTGATGCTTCATTCTCAACCAACAATAATTATATCACGCAGTATTTATTAGATATAAAATAAATAGTGTGATTCACGTTTTTTTAATAAGCTTTAGAAATCAAGTTTCTTGTTTGTTTTATATTTATTACAAAGATAGAGAAAATCATATCAAACTGACTGGTAACCTACGACTGTTGTATTAAAAGTAGTTAATTTGTTTACAAAGGAAGACCGTTAGTAATAATTTTATCCTTAATGTTGGGAGCTTGTAGTTTATGGTTCCTTTCCCACATGAAGGTTTTTTCCAATTAATTTACCCCTAGGTTTTATAGCTTGAAAATATGTAGTCTAAAGCGTGTCGTAAGTGTAGGGCTTTTTATTCAAGAAAGTGTTATTCAAAAATATGCTACGCCACAAAGTAAGATGTCAGCAATCACAGCATATTTTGTGAGTGTGTGGTTACGTTTTATTATATTAAGTATAGTATAGAGTTTAGAGTATAGAGCATAGAGTATAGAGTATAGAGTATAGATATAGATGTGCATAAGTAGTTATGTATTTATTATTATTCATTTATTCATTAGTGCTCAACTATAAAAAGGCACCACATTTTCAACATCAATTCTCAAACATTTATTCTATATCGTAGTAGATCGTATTTCGTTATACAGGAAATGAGATTTCGTATTGGAATTCGGATTAATCTTAACAGATGGTTATTGGATTTGAGTTCACAGTACTTTGACGGTTCTTTTGGAATAGACGTATTTTTTTATGGTAAAGCTTCGCAAGAAAGATCTACAATATATTTTCTTAACTATTAAATGTGCATCTTACATAATTTTTTGGTTAATGTTAAATGTAAAAGTCACGTGTTCATTGTTTATTATAATTAAATTTTTGTATTAACTGTAGGTTTCTTTTTACGAACAAAATAATCTCCGTTGTCATATTTATAACAAAGAGTAAATTGACTCAACGTTGTAGTGTGAGAACATTTTTGATTACGCTCCAGTAATAAGTACTACGTCTCGCGAGATTTCGTATGTGAAATGTAATTTTTTCATGTAAACGTTAAAGGTATTTTTTGTGATAAGAAAAGAAAAAGTCATTTTTATAACGAATACCTAAGGCGTCGTATTAATACGTGGGGTAAAAATGCGTATAGGGTTTTAACATAATATACTAGCTACCGTCGACTCCATCCGCGCGAAATTAAAAGAAAAGTAGCTTATATATGTGTTTTTTTCAGACAATGTTCTACATCTGTGACAAATTTCAGCGAGATTTGTTGAGTCGTACTGAAGATAGATAGTTGCAAACCATCCATCCATCTAAACTACTACGACTTATCAAATCTTACTTAATATCATGAGTCCGAAAGTTTAATGGATGAATGGATATTCATTAATTTGTAAACGGCTGAACAGATCTCGATGAAATTTGGCATAGACACAGAGAATAGTCTGGAAGAACACCTAGGCAACTCACTTTTTTTTTTTTATTTTTCGAGGACGAAGTCGCGAGCGAAACTAGTTTAAAATAAAGTTTATTCTAAACAATAAACCCGAATAAATCCTGTTTACTTCTTTGCCTTTGAGTTCGTTACTTTTACATGAAGTCAAATGTAACAAAAAATTCATAGTTGTGTAAAATTTTTGTAAATTACAAAATTACCATTTCTACAACATACTTGGAATCGCGCCGTTTGTAGTACAAATACTAAAAAAATCTTCGGATTGCTTCGCAATTGTTTCAGCTATGAAACAATTTTCATTTGCATATAATAAGTTGTTTCGCTTATGAATAATTGAGCATCTATTTTATTCTTAGAACAATGTATGTGCGAACAGAATACATTTTAAGCTAGAAAGAGAATTGCCAACCATTTCCCTTGCGTCTTTACTTTCGTGAAGAAAATGTAGACAACTCTAGTTCATTTATTGAAAATGCGAAGCATGCAAACTATGAATTATGGAAACTATAAAAACTGACGGATAAATACCAGCCAAAAGTACTTTTTACAGTAACATACTATCATTAAATTCTATTGTAGACGTGTGTTTTTTATCTTTTTTTTCTAAGATAATGAGAGGAATGGCAATATTTTTTATACAACAGTGGAAACCCAAATAACTCTAGTGCATGACGCCGTAATGTCTATGGTTTAAGGGTCATCATGTGTGTTTTGGAAATGGCCCAATTTCTTCTGCACTTATCGTTAATCTATTACATGTATTTATTACATTGTTGGGATTTGCTTCTGTTATATTTTTGCTAGATCATGTAAAGTTTTTTTTTACTTAAGAAAAATTGTTCTATGTAATCTCTTTGCCAGAATAATTTAATTCACACGAAATACAGAGTTTAGCCTTCCTCACCAAGCATTATGACTACTATGATACAAAAGAAAAAATGAAACATTTCACGTAAAGA